TATACTTCACATGTGGAAGCACTTACATTGAGCTATCAGGTCACAAAGAAACTGATTTACTTTGCTTTTGAAGGAAGAACAAAATAGACATACAATTTAAGTGGAACTTTTTGATAAGGAAATGTTTAATGCACCCAGGAAAAAGAAATGATAGAGACACTTTAATAGTTGTCTTTTTAGTTCTTTCTATGAATAACAAATTTTATGAAATAAATGAGATAAATATACTTAGTCCCCTGATTGCTCAAAGGAATGATTGTTCATTCCTCCACTTAACACATTAATAATTTTATTTTTTTAAGGCAAAAGGCTGCACTGTTTCTACCAGTTTACCTAGGCAATAACCAATGGAGGATAATTTGGGTGAACACTGAAAAAGTTTGTAAACCTTGTGATTTGCAAACTTTTCTCATGTTCTCCCAACATCCCTGTGGGTTATTACAACAGTAAACTGAGAGAAAGTGCAATCAATTGCTTAAATAATCGTTGTCTGAGGTCACCATTACAAATTGGTCATTTCTGCTGGTTTGTCACATTTTAGTTAAAATGATTCTGGAATTTCGTTCTGCAGATGAATTGCAGCCATCAGGTGATAAATTAGAAGTGCTTAGTTCATCAATAGTTCATTATATTTTTAACTTTGATTTTGATTGTGAGGGAAAAACTTCAAATGGTCTGATTATAAACTTTGTCGCTAATTTTCAGTTTAGGAAAAGATGTATTGCTGTACAGTAAACTAAAATAGGAGTTTACACTGGTTTCTAAATGATCATTATGATGATAATTATAATAATTAAATCATGATTATAAATAAATATAATAATTTATTGGCCAACCATATTGATCACTACAGGGTGTGACCTTCCCAGCCATGCATACCATGTGGAGTAACTGGGCTCCACCTTTAGAGAGAAGCAAGCTTGGCACCTTGTCTTATTCAGGTAATAATTTTTTAGACAACTATTACCCTGAAAATTAAAGTTTTATATCCTAGGGTATTGATAAAGAAAAGTCAGCCTTGGACATGTAAAATTAAAATTGATAGGTTAATTTAACCTTTCTCTACAAATACACTGCTGTACTCGTATGAAAATAGCAGTATGTTAATCCCTGGATCATTGATACAACTAATAAAATTCTGTTATACTCCTATTGGGTACAGCATACTTTGTTCCCCAAGATTATAGCCCCCTTTCAACAATGTAGACATTTTTTATTGCCTTATGCATACCCTTGTTACAATGAAGCAGTCCTGTAGACCTGTAGACAGAATAATGATTACTGTAATTCTAAGTGTAACACCCAGAGGTGTTTTAAACATATGGCCATAGCTGTATTGGGGTAAAATAAATTAATGTTCCATTCAAAATTTTTTTTTTTTACTCTCACTCTGATGTTGTGAGGGATTGAATGCAAATGTTCCAGGCTGTATATGTATATAAAGTTTTAATTGAATGTGTTCTGAATTTATACTATGCCTTAATTTTTAGCCTCATTAACACTGTGTCTAATTGCCTTTTCCCTTTTTCCCTGGGGATAATTTATAATAGAAAATGCATCATACAAGTTTGTAAGAGTTTATACATGTATTTACTGGAAAGCAGATACACCTTTTACAAATATTTAATGGAGTGAGCTTCTGTTCAAACCTTTTTGTGAATTTTAAGCACTTCATACATTTACTTTCCTGTTTTTCCACAATAACAGGCACTCGCATTGGGACAATTATTGGTTTGCCATTGGCTGGTGTGCTCTGTGCATCTGATCTTTGGGGAGGATGGCCATCTGTATTTTATATTTATGGTATGTACATTTACATCCCTGTATGCATTTGAAACTGATAAATAATGGTAATAAGACCGAGTGGAGTCCACTTTGGTCTTTAATCATAGGAGTGATAAACAAAATTGAACAACTGCAAAGTAGGCGTCAGATTTGTTCATCACAGGTATGATTATAGACGGGATTGGATGACACAAAGTCCTGTTATCAATTAATCATAACTATGACAAAATTTGAGAAAGAAAATAAACATAGTTGATAGGTTTTCAGGAAAAAGGCAAAAATTTATTGTAACT